AGCACTGAATTTGTAAATTGCTTTTGGTAGGATGCTGTGTCGAGATTCCTCAGCCTACTAAAGATAGAGCTTCCATATAATCCAGCAATTCCACTCTTAGGTATTTACCCAAAGGACACAGAATCATTAATTCAAAAGGGCACCTGCACCCCTATGTTTACAGCAGCACTATTTACAATAGATAAACTTTGGAAACAGCCCAAATGCCCAAGAAATAGATGACTGGATCAAGAAGATGTGGTACATATACACCATGGAATATTACTCAGCAATCAAAAAAGATAAACACATGCAGTTTGCAGCAACATGGATGGAGCTGGAAGGGGTCATGCTCAGCGAAATAAGCCAGAAAGAAAAAGAAAAATACCGGATGGTCTCACTTATTCCAGGAATCCTAAATAAGGGACCAGGAAAAAAACTAATTATAATAAATCAAAATCAAAATCAATAAGCAATTATAAGCCAGAGACACACTGTGGGGGGGGGGGAAGGAGGGATTAGGGTCAATATAAGGGAGGTGTAATTGTATGGGGAATATAAAAATATGAATAAATAAATAAATATCCTTTATCTAAAAAAAAAAAACAATCGCCTTCCTAAAAAAGTAAATTCCATCATCAACAGAGCTATAGTGCTCATGTAAATAAAAGATTTTAATATTCTGGTGAAAAGAGAAAAATATGTAACTTAAAAACTGCACATACAAAGGAGTCTTTGAAGTGGATGGGGCATGGGGAGAGGATGAATGAGCTCCTCTTAACAGAACACTGCGGGCAAGGAGGTGTTGAAGTGTGTTTTAAGATAGTTCAGGAAACCAAAACAAAATCTGCTGGAACTTTTTGTGTTGCGAACCAGCGGCAGCAGTCTGGGTGTCAGGGGTTCCTGAAGGATGGGAAGGTGTCGTAGGTGCAATTGTAGAGAAAATGGTAAGGGAGGGGGAAGGGAGCATGAGGAGACGCAGACACTTGATCAGGGTGCTGACATCATCCTACTGAGGGTCTCAGCAGTCCTTTATTTATAGTAAGCATATCCTGAGTACACAAGCATAAGGTAGGAAGATAATAATCATCACATGTTCTTTTTTTTTAATAGAGGCATGTTTTTTATTTATTTATTTGTTTGTTTGTTTGTTTGTTTTGTTTATACAAGCACTGGGTACAGTCAGAAGCGCGGGAGGGTGAGAGAATTCACCAGAGCCAGAGCGGGGAGCAGAGCAGGCAGAGGGACCGAAGTACACTGCTGAGGGAAGCAGCGGGCGGCAGGAGAGGTCCACGCGCCATGTGGGACCCTCCGCCGGTGGCCTGGGAGCAGCTGGGGATGGAACCGGCGCCGCAGAGGTCGCTGGCAGCTTGGCAACCCAGCGCTCAACCGCTGCGCCACCGGGGAGGCCCCATCACATGTTCTTTTTCAGGAGCCGCCAAGGGTCTGTTTGCCTTCCGGCAGAGGTGTAACATTTATTATTCTTTGTCTTAAAGAAGGCACAGTTGCTAAACAAATGTTTTTAAAATAGTTATTTACCTTAAACAATCTAACAGTTATTTTATTACTACCAAAAAGCCTATGTGTCTACAACTAACATTTCTAAGTTTGCCATGGTGAATGATTAACTATGGGCTGGAGGAAAACAAAGGGCAGGAAGTTACCTGGGGGAAGGGAGACAAAGAGATTATTTCTAACTAACCTATAAAGTTTAGACTAACATATAACTAATTGATTAAAGTAAAAAACAGAAGGCTTTTATATAGAAATCATCATCTATAGTATATTGTTTTAATATTGATTTGATATTAAGGAACCAAAGGCCTGGAGGGCATTAATGCCAGGCAAGCCGCACTGACTCTTCCCTAGCCCCCAACTCTCAATTAGGGGAGGAAGTCTAATCTAAACAAAGAGTTTTCTACCTATTCACTCCTCTACTTATCTAGTCAGTCTAGTTTCAGTATTTAACTATAAGATCAAAGGGCAATCTCTTCTTCCATAAGGTTGCTGGTTGTTGTTTTAAGGAACTACAAATATTTTATCAGGGGCAAAAGCAGGAGATGGTTATAGCCTTTGATCCTCAAAAAAATGGTCAATATGTGACATATCAGTAGTTGTAACAATGACCATTTTTGAGTGCGTTATTTGTGCTGTGATTACTAACTAGCTCAACCATTCACAAATTGCTGTTGACTTATTCTTGAATGCATACTCTAACAGCTATCATACCAATTGTCACATCCTAGGGAATTAGCCCTAAACAAACAGGAAGAATTTAGCAGGAGTTAACTATGGCATCTCCTGGTTTATCAGGAATCTTCTTATACTTGGAGCATGGCTCGCCTCTGCCACCCAACTGTTATCTTTAACTTTAAAGTAAAGGAATTTCTTTCTCCAATTAGCTCTTGCCTCAAGAGACCACATCTCTGTATCAAGGACTTGGCCGATAGATGTTTACAACCTATTGTTTCCAGAAGTTATTTCACTGGTTAATGTAAAGCCAAATGTTGAATTGCTGCCTTTTTGGCAGAGAACTACTAATTTTATGAAAAATGTAATATTTGTATCATGCAGTGCCATTTGTCATCAATTTGGTTATTCAGTGATTGATCAGTATTTGCAGTTTTACTTTTAAATGCGTATTTTAGCAATGGTAGAAACTAGCCATAAACAAATGAGGAGAATCTTGGAGTCAGCTAATGAGATTCCTGATTTTTCAGAAATCTGCCCCATGCCCGGACTTTTGTCAGACGACATGAGTAACACAGCTCCTCATATTTTTGGAGCAGAGCACCAGAGAGAACTTTGAGGATTAGGTAAGGACACAGAACACAATGTCATCTAATTCCAGTCAGAGTGTTTAGAAAATCAAGTGTTACAAAAAAAGTAACGAAGTGAGTGATCATCTGAAAGTTTTGCTGGGGGGAGTGGGGCAACATGATAAAGATGTCAGATTAGGTCTATTAGCCGTGATCTCACAGCTGGGTGTTTAAATGCTTATTAACCTATTAAATGCTTGCTAAACCTATTAAAAATCAGTACTTGTACATTCAAATTTGCCACATGCCCTCTGTTAAGGATGAGATGAGATAATCAGCTTTGACATTTTAACACTTAAAATTTAATTGTGACTACATGGAAATACTTGAATAGTAGTGGTTTCTTTTTAAGAGAAATAACAGAAACCCAGATGTTTGTATGAAATATTCCAAATTTTAAAAGTTAGGCTTCATTTAAAAGGACAACTGTGCTTTGAAAAGACAGTGGAGTGAACATTTCAGAGGCTGGTCTGCAAGTGCAGAGTCTATATTATGGGATTCTTTCTCCTCACTCAAACTTGCTCTCTAGAACTCAGGATAGTCAGTCATTTTCTACTTTTCCTTTGTGGAGTGAAAGGCCAACTGGAAGGCAGATATTTGCGCAATCCCTTAAAGAATTAGCTTTTCCATACAATTCAGGCCTTCTGAGGTAAAATACAGAAATAGAAGGTATTCCAAATCCAATCAAACAGTTTCTATATTTTAGGCCCTGATCAGTGAATCAAAGACTAAATACACAAAGGCTTTTGGAAGATGAAAACTAACCAATGAGTGGAGCAGAGCCTCTCCTTGAATCACCCCCTATGTGCCACTCTCAGTACAGCCTCTTCCCTGTTTTTTCCCCAAGTTATAGCATAACCTGGGCAAAGAGGAATCACTGCATTTACAGTCAAGTGGTGATAGGCTGGTGGGCTGGTCAACAGCCACGTGAACAGATCCCTGGATCAGACCAGACAAGTCTGGAGTGGATGGGGAAAAAAGACACAGACAAAATGCATTCCCTATTATTTGGGGGCCAAACAACTCTGAAAGGATTCTTTCTGAGGGATGTATGGGCTCCCGTCAATAATTTGGAGTCCAAAGTTGGAAACAGCCTCAGCAGATCAAATCTGAAAGAGAAAGATGTTTATTTAGCACACAAATGTTTGAGTGAGGCTAGCCTGAGAGAATATTTGGAAAATGCCAGAAAGTGCTCAATCCTGGAGACAGGGCAAGGAAAAGAGGATGGGGAGAAGGGTTACCAAAATTTTGCTGGAAATATCCATTGACATCCATCTATGTGATACCCTTGTTCACTCAGGCCCCAGTGTGCCTCCTTGAATCCAAGTTAGTCTGGCTACTTGTTGCCACACACCCCTTCCCCACCCTCACGTGGCCTCTCCTTGACTTTTTCTCCTGGTTTCATGGAACCTCACCTCCTTAAAACTGAAAGCCTGTCATTCGCTTAATATACAAGGGCAAAGAGTTGGATGGTCTAATAAACATGAAGTCTTTAGAAACTGCTAACTGTGTTTTGGTCAAAGAGTCATCCCCTGAAATTGTATGAGCAGGACTAGAATTACAGATAAACCCAAGTAATGGGCAATTTAAGAATTTAGTTTGTGCCTAAAATAAATTACCAAATGTGTTCTTTATTTTGGCTCATTTTATTTTTTCCCTTGTAATTTAGACAAACATATTACTACTGATTTGGACCTTGAGGCAATTTTAAACAATAAGCCAACAGGTTAAAATGAAAGCAAAAAAAATTACCTCCCTTTAAGGGACAATCAGTTAAAATCTTGAAACTATGTTTGATGTTGAATCCCTCACTGCTTTCCCCAGTTACATACACTCATGCAACAAACTGTTACATAATAACAGAACATTTGAAATTCAAATGTGGCTGATGATGTAAACTTTTATGACATAGATGACACATGACATTTATAATTTGAAGCACTTTGAAATACTGCTTTAAACAAATTAAAGTTTCCCTAATCAAAATAGCTTGAATCTATTTCCTGACAGGGAATGAGGAAAAGTTCATATGTAATGTGTAAATGGGACATTCAAAATGTACTGCTTTATTGAATGTTTTTGTCTTAGGAATGGTTTTAGTCAGCCAACAAACAGCATTCCTCCCATACGGCCAAACTGTTTCAGGAGCTCAGGACACAGGTGTGAAATTCCATTCTAGAGCGAAATTCTGAAGACATATTATTATGTTTTTAGGTGCAGGTGCTCCTGAGAAGGTAGAAGAGAACGTGGTTCAAAACCATATGAGCAGCATTAGCCTGGACTCTATCAGAAGTGACACATGAGTTGGGACCAAAGCAAGGTCAGAGTGAGGGTTAAGGGAAGATACAGGGGGAGGAGGGATTCTGCAAGAATAAGAGCAAAGGCCCTACGTGGAAATAGAATGTGGCAGAAAGAAGGGCAGCTGACCCAGGTTGGTAGGAGATGGGAAGATGAGGCTAGGGTGGGGAGGGCTCAGACCAGAGAGGGCAGTGAAGACTTTAAGAAGGGATTTAGGTTTAATTCAAAGCATAGCAAGATCATGGGAAGGTTTTCAGCAGCAAAATAAATGATCTGATTTTCCTTTCACTCTTTGACTATTTGTGGGATGCTAGATGCTTAAGGAAGGAAGGAAGTAACCATCTAGGAAACCACAGTCATGACCCAGGTAGGCTTTTGGGGGAGTTGTGGAGACTAAGGAATTGCTGGTAGGCTTTTGAAATGTAGCCAAAACGTAATGATGAGTTGAATATGGGAGATGAGGAAGAAAGTAACCAAGGAAGAAGTTGGGGTACAATGAGATGGGGGTGTAGGCTGGGAGGAGATGGTGGGAGTGCAAGTCTGTGGTTTCATTGTGGCCATGTAATACTTGAGATCACTGAAACATCCAAGTGGAGGTGATGACGAGGCAACAGTCCTCTAGTTCTAGGGTTCTAGGGAGCTTTGGGCCAGAATTAGACATTTTGGAATCATCAATCTACATATGATGTTCAAAGCCATAGAAAGTATTAGTTCTGTTAAGCAGAACAAAGAAGGCCTCACTGATGGTGCAAGGGGTTGTCTTTTTACTATGAAGCTATCTGCAGCCACTGCAGCACGAGTTCGATCCCCAGCCAGGGAGCAACCCACATGGTGCAGCAGACCTCTCCTGTCTGGCCCACTGCTCCCCACAGCAGTGTATTTCAGTTAATTGGCCTGTTCTGCTCCCCACTTTGCCTCTGGTGAATCCTCTTACCACCACCACAACCCCTGCACCTCTGGCCTGCACCCCAGCTCTTGTATGCATAAGTAAATAAATCTTTTTTTTTTAAAAAGGGACAAAAAAGAAAAGGAAAAAAAGGAGGAGACATTCAAGCATGTTTGAAAGAATTGGAATCAGCAAATGAAACAGAAGAAACGGCCAGAAACACAGCTCTGTGTGGTAGCTCAGAAAACAAGTGAGGAGAGTATTTGTAGGAGGGAGCAGTAGAACCCATCAAAATCTCCTGAAAGATCAGGTTCTTCAGAGGGAGACAGACCCAGTGGGAAACCCCTCCTGTGCATCCTCCTTCACTGAGACAAACCACCACCCTTCATTCTCCATATCTGTGAACTGCGGCAGATGGAGCAACACTCTTCCAGCTCTGGCTTTTCAGTCCCAACACCCCCTAAGCCTATGATTCTGAGTTTTTGGGACTCTGGCTGCATTTCCAGGGACCTGACTGTGGTTGCTCAGGTGAGACACAGTACTCAGCTGATACTGGTGAATGAATGAACAGAGTAGGCCTGGAGGGGTGAAAGGGAAGTCTGCAGCCCAAGTAGCTACAGGAAACCCCCTCCCCCACTGTTCACATGTACCCACCATTTCTAAGATCCCACAGCAAGTGGGATCCCTGGCGGGCTCAGGGTCACAGCACCTGGACCTGTTCTTTGCCAACAAACTCTCCCAGTTCATGCAAGAAGGGGATATTTCTAAACAAGAAACCTGCAGTGGGAGCTGACCACCCACAGCTGGCCCCAGCCCAGTCTGTCTCAGGTTAGAGGGTGCCACACACAGCACAGTGCATCCATGGCAGGCAATACACTGGGATAGCTACATACACTGTGTTGTGCTTACTGGCTTACAACTCTTGACAGGGAGAGAAGGGGCCTCTGCACTTGAACCAGCAGGTAAAACAGAAATTTAATAGATCTGGGGAAGAGGGGAGCTACACAACATGAATTAAAGCATCTACTGGTCTGCCAGAGCTGCCCACTGCCCTTTGGCCTTGTGAGGTTGCTGATAAACATGCTCATCTCATTGGCAAAAATAGGAGGAAAACTATATCCTAGATAGTTTTAAATGTTAGGATGTTAAGAATGGTCAAGTTTTATGCACAGAACATAGTACATAAATGTCAGTTGATTTTGAGACCCATCAGAGTTTAAGGAAGTGAATGTAATAAGAGACCTTTAAAAGCCAAAACCTAGGACAGATTTTCTAACTAGAAATGAAATGGCCTCTGAAGCATTCTACAGATTTTATTTAATTGGGTAAATTTCAATCTCTAACACAAACCTCTTTGCAGCTGCTTCATTGTAAAACCTGAAAAGCCACTGGGGTTTATCTCTGACTGATTGTCTGCCTCTGGCTCTGACCTCGTAAGGAGGCATTGTGATGGACCCCACAAAGCCTATATAAGCCCTGCCTGGACCAGGGGCTATGTCCTTAAGAGCCAGGAAGCTTTGCGTGGTGACCTGTGGGACTCATTTTTAATTTTTTTGGTTGTGATTTCATTTAGTTTTTCTGTTTTCAGTTAGTGTTGTTAGTAAAGTTAGTATAGTTAGTTGCTAGTATAGTTGTTAGCATTGTTTGCATGTAGTTTAGTTAGCTTTGTGAGTATTTTTTGTTATTATATTAATAAACATAGCATCCTATCACAGGTAGCACAGGTAATACTGGTGAATGCAGTAATCATAGTTGGGAGCAGCTGACATTTAGTGCAGCGGTGGTTGGCACAGCCAGGCTGCTGGGCATCATAGTGAGTGCAGTCAGGCACCGGGTCACTATGTTCTGCAATTTTGGTTCTAAGGACATTGTAATCCGAAACTACCAGATCCTCAGGACCCTCGGGGAGGGCACGTACGGCAAGGTGAAGCTTGCCCGGCACAGCCTCACGGGGACCGAGGTGGCCTTGAAGGTCATCCGCAAGTCCTGGTGGGTGAGCAAAGAGTCCCTGACCAGGGAGGTGTGCAACATGAAGGCTCTGAGCCACCCACACATAGTACAGCTCTTCCAGGTGCTGGATACGAAGGGCCAGCTCATCCTGGTGATGGAATACATGGAAGGCGGGGACCTGCACGACTACCTGCAGCACCACGGGCGCCTGGCGGAAAGCGAGGCCCGAGGCATGTTCGAGCAGCTTCTCTCTGCCTTAAGCTACTGCCACCGCAAAGGAGTGGTGCACCGGGACCTGAAGGCCGAGAACATCTTAATGGACCGGCAGGAGAACGTGAAGCTGGGGGACTTCGGCCTGAGCGTGCAGTGCAAGGGCCAGGAGCTGAGCACGTGCTGCGGCAGCCCCGAGTACGCGGCCCCCGAGATCTACCGCCTGCACCGACACTACGGCCCCGCCGCAGACATCTGGAGCCTGGGCGTCGTCCTCTACTTCATGGTGACTGGGGCGCTGCCCTTCGTGGGGGACAACTTTTGGAAGCTCAGGCAGCGCGTCACCAGCGGCTGCTTCCACGTGCCCGCCTACCTGTCGGGGCAGTGTGAGGACCTGTTGAGGAAAATGTTGGTGCTGGACCCCCAGGCCCGGAGCAGCATTGAAGACCTCGTCACACACCCCTGGGTTAAAATGAGAAGGGAGCTCCTGGCTTTCAGGGAGCTGTCCTACCACCACCACGACCCGGCCATGACAGAAGCCATGGTCACCATGGGGTTTGAGAAGGACGAAATCCACAGCTCTGTAGCGGAAAGGAAGTTTGACTACATCATGGCCACTTACCTCATACTCCACTGGAAACAGCAGGAGGGGCAGGGCAACGCCGTCTTGGAGAAGCCCTCCCCTGTGGCTGTGCTGGACAAGGACAGCCTTTCCCAGGATTGCCACCTGCAGCCCAATGTTTCAAGGAAGAAAACCCTTGAAATCAAGGGTCCTATAGTTTCTGGTTTGCTTCAGCCCCAGGAGTCAGGCCAGAAGGAAGGAAATCAAATTTTGGCATTGGCCAGCCTCATAGCCAACCAAGAACAAAGGAATACGACCTCCAGTCCAGCCCCTCAATCCCCCAGCACAACCCGAAGACCTCCCCCAGGACGGGGTTGGCACCTCCGCTTCCACAGCAATGCAATAGCACCACAGGAAAATTCTTTCCATGCTCCAGAACCTGATAAGACTCCAGCCTCTCCCTGTGGTCACGGCCAAGGCAGGAGGGCCACAGCTAGGCAGATACTGAACTTTGTCTTAAGAATCTGTTGCTTCTGTGCACCGCTCTGTAAACAGCATGGCAGTAACCAGTCACTCAACTAAGTACTGAGACTATCCATAAGCCTTCCTCCAACGGGCAGCCGCCCAGTGACCGTGGTGCACAGGAGAGGGGTGAGGTTCTGGAGATGGGTCAGGGGCTATGTACTGACAGGGGGGCCAGGCAGCAGCATGAGGCACACAGACCTGGGGCTCAGATGTCCAGGGAGCACAGAAGTCCAGGGAGCACAGGATGCACAAAGTGTCCGTGTTTTCTGCACCAGCCACAAGGAGGGAATAGCTTCTCCAAACTGTCCCAAGCATCCATTCCAAATACCTGGTGAGCTCACAGAGCAGCTTGGTGCCCTCCAGGAACAAGAGAGCCCCAGGGAAGTGAGCAACTGAGTTTTGTTGTTGTTTTCCCCCCAACAGTGGCACAGAGCGGAAACAGGCCCTCCTTGAGGTCAGGAAGCTGGTGGCTCCCCAGGATTCCTTGAGGTGTCAGAGGTCTTGGGGTCCAGAGGAGGAAGATTGACGGTAAGAGCCAGCAGCCTGGAGAAGGGAGTAGGGGTGGAGGAGAGATGGCTTTTCAAGGTAAATGGCTGAACAGCTGCTTCCACTCTAGCTTTGTTCTCAAAACAGGTGGGATTCAACAAAAAGGAATGCAATGTGGACAGTGCAAAAATAATGCACATCTTTTTAAAATTTACCAAATTCTGGATTATGATCGCACTGAGTGCCAACATCACCCTGTGTTATAGGTGCATCCACCCAGCTGATGGTGGAAAAGCAGAGCTAGTGAAGGGCCGGGAGGGCAGCAGAGGTGGTAAAGAACCAGCCACTCCAGAGACTGCAGGGCCAGAGGTGGCCAAACCCAGGACCTCACTTCTATATCTTAGGCTCTTTCCTACGAGGGCCACCCTATCCCCTTGCTGGCAGGCCACCGGGCTGACATAATAAGAGGACACAATGACACTCTTTAATCTGAGTGGTATTTTCACTGACTTAATATGAATAGTAACAAGTCCCCCTGGATTTGACCCATTTTAAAAACTGAAATTCTAAGTTGGAAAATAGTTCACCCAGGTAGTTAGTGGTAGCTCAGGATGTTAGGACATCCTGCAGTAATGGCCTGGGTTCCAAATAGGGCATAAATGTTGACATGGAGACACCGGAGGCCGCATTTCCAGGGAGCCAGCAAAGTCTTTCCCACCCGCCCTGCCCCATATTCAGAAACCATAGAATGTGATGGTTCAGAGGAGAAAGATTTTGCTTGATTGTTGACTTGTTATTATGCCTTTACTAAACCAGCAATGCTCCTCAGGGTCCTCAAAATCATTGATTCTTCTACACAGACTGCCAAGAACTGAATGTTCTTTCGAAATGTCTTCCTTCCAAGTCATCCAGAAAAGGCTATGAAAGGTCAGGGTTTTATCTGAAATGGAGTGAATGCTGGTGTGTGTGTCTCCCCATCCCACCCCCAGTAGGTTTAGTTCTAAAATCAATACTAAAAACCTCTAAAGGATTTATCACCCAATGGAATTTGATCCTGTTTTTTTCAATTATTTAGGCAGAAGAGGATTGGACCAAGCCAATCAACAGCATCCAGCTGGGAAATGAGCGAACATTTCCAGGGTAATGTATTGCATGAATGTCATAAACTGACACCCATTCATTGACATTTGATGGTTTTAACCCACATTCCTACCTCAAGACAAATAATCCAGTGACTGTCCTCTTACATATCCAGTGGTATACCTTTGCCATAGATTGATCTTAATTTCTAGCAGTGCATTTGTGAGGTGGAATCTGTGTTTGCAGTTCCCTGAATATGTGAAGTTTGTATCCCCATCAACATATTTACACATACTATTAAGAGGCACTTGTAGTGCTTCTAATATCTTACTTTTCCATTATTTACTACTTATTTTTAATAGAAACAATGTCCTCTGTTGAGTCTGAATAAATATATCAATGTGATGCTATGTTAAAATCAAGGACACTGGCCTGGGTACCACAAACTACAGTATTCCAGTCATCCAATGGCAAAAAGTTCACATTTTACTTCTTCAAAAGATAAAACAGGGGCCTCCCTGGATGGCGCAGGCAGTTGAGTGCAGTGCTGTGAAGCTGTCTGCAGCCTCTGTAGTGCCGGTTCGATCCCGGCCGGCTGGTGAGAATCCCACATGGCGCATGGCACAGCAGACCTCTACTATCTCGCCCACTGCTCCCCTCAGCAGTGTTTCAGTCAGTCAGCCTGTTCTGTTCCCCGCTCTGTCTCTGGTGAATCCTCTCACCATCCCGCACATCTGGCCTGTACCCCAATTCTTGTATGCATGAATAAATAAATCTTAAAAAAAAAAAAAAAGGTAAAACAAGGGTCTCCCTGGTGGCAAAAGGGGTTAAGCACGGCACTGTGAAGCTATCTGCAGCCTCTGCAGCACAAGTTCAATCCCTGGCCAGCCAGGGAGCAACCCACATGGTGCAGCAGACCTCTCTTGTCTTGCTCGCTGCTCCCCTCAGCAATGTATCTCATTCAATCTGCCTGTTCTGCTCCCCACTCTGTCTCTGGTGAATCCTCTCAGCCCCAACACCAGCTCTGTACCCCAGCTCTTGTATGCATAAATAAATAAATCTTTAAAAAAATATAAAACGAGATTTCTTTAAGGTTTCCACCTGAACATTATAAAATCTAAGTATATACAATACCATATAGGGAATCTTGCTAACAAAATAGCATCCTAAATAGTTAACTATGCATATGAACTTTATTTGCTATTCTCTTTAAATGCAGGTCACAAAGGATGGCTGGAACTGGGAGGTTGCCACTGAGTTTGCTGATGGACATAGATAGGCTTCCACTTAACCCAGAACTGGACTTCTAGATGACATGCTTGGTGCCTGTGGGAAACTCTGGGAGGCTTGGAGACATCTAAATGCTTTTTTTCTGAAGAAGACAGTTTGAAATGGAGCTTTTTGTTAAAGTCTCTATCCCATTAAACATTAAATCAGTTGTTGAACCAGAATGCATTTACTTGTATGTATGAATGCATCCGTACTTCTAACACATGGGTAATCAAATACTTAAATTTGCTTTAAAATTCCCATTATCAGGATCTCCCCTGGTGGCGCGGTGGTTGAGCGCTGGGCTGCGAAGCTGCCTGCAGCCTCTGCAGGGCTGGTTCAATCCCCGGCCGCTGGCGAGGATCCCACATGGCATGCAGACCTCTCCTGCCGCACCCGCTGCTCCCCTCAGCAGTGTACTTTGTCTGTCTGCCTGTTCTGCTCCCTGTTCTGGCTCTGGTGAATTCTCTCACCCTCCTGCGCTTCTGACTCTAACCAGTGCTTGTATAAATAAATAAATAAATCTTTAAAAAAAAGAAATATAAAAATTCCCATTATCAGCAAATTTTAGAAAGTCAGATCAATAACATGGTGATATGAAATGGCCATGCAGAAAGGCATACCTGTAAAACAGACCTACCTGTGAAAACACACTACCAATGAATATATAATTAGGTATTACAGCTGTTTTATCTAGGAGTATGTGCATATTCTTGCACTGTGTGTCTGTGCATGTGTGTGCCTGTGTGTGCATGTGTATGTGTGCATGACTACATGTGTGCATCAATGTGTTTATGTGTGTGCCTGTGTGTTTTTCTGTGTGTATTGTATGTATATATGCCTGTGTATGTGTATGCAGGCAAATGTATGTGTGTGCCTGCATATGAGTGCCTGCATGAGTGTATGCCTATGCACATGTGTGCTTATATGTAGGAAGTATTCATTTACCTTCTATCATCTCAAAGACATGTAGAGAACTGTTAAGAATTAGTATAATTTCTTTAAACTTTGGTAGAATTCACCTGTGAATCCCTGGTGCTTACCATTTTAGAATTGTGTTATTCAATTTGGCATAGATTTCAATGCTCAGTTTTTAAACAAGATATCCTTATTTTGAAGTAGAACATCTATTTTTGCTTTCTATATTTGAACATTTAATGGAAGCAAAGTGACCTTGGACTATTTTTTTATTTGGTACCAACAAATGCTTTTGTTGATTAAGTTTGCAGATCATTAGGAAAAAATAAAGTAAAAAGCATATTTTGATATTAAAATCATAAAGTGATTATTGAAAATCTTTGTTAAATATAAGACTGAAATTGTTATGTTTTTCCTAAATCATTTCAGATTTATCTGTTGGTAAGTTAGCATATTTAAAGTGGTATTCTGTACAAATCACATACTGTATTTTTTGAAGGCTTATAAACTCATATATATCTTAAACAATATTTCACATGTCAAAATTAGTGGGGCCTCCCTGGGGGTGCAGGTGGTTGCTAGGTGGAGGTTGGCACAGGCTACACCACACATGCAAGTGGAAGAGAATAAAAACATCCCTTACACTGACCAAAAAGAGGATGTAGGGGCCTCCCCTCGTGGCACAGGTGGTTGAGCGCAGCGCTGTGAAGCAGTCTGCAGCCTCTGCAGCACAGGTTCTATCCCGGCCAGCTAGGGAGACGCCCACATGACGGGGCAGACCTCACCTATCTTACCCATTGCTCCCCTTAGCAGTATATTTCATCAGTCTGCCTATTCTATTCCCCATCTGTCTCTGGTGAATCCTCTCACCCTCCTGCGCATCTGGCCTGTACTCTGGTTCTTGTATAAATAAATAAATAAATAAATAAATAAATAAATAAATAAATAAATAAATAAATAATTTTTTTTTTTTTGTCTCTAATTTTTTTTATTTTATTTTTTTTTATTTTATTTTTTTTTAAATATTAAATTTTATTTTATATTCCCCATACAATTGCAAACGCCCATTCTGACCCCAATCCTTCCCCTCCCGCCCCCCACCCCCCAAAAGTGTCTCTGGTTCATAGTTTTTTGTTGATTTTGATTTTCACTTTCTTATATTCATTTCCTGTGTCCCTTATTTAAGTTTTCTAGATTCCTGCTATGAGTGAGACCATCCGGTATTTTTTCTTTTGGCTTATTTCGCTGAGCATGATCCCTTCCAGTGCCATCCATGTTGCTGCAAATTGCATGTGTTTATCTTTTTTGAATGCTGAGTAATATTCCATGGTATATATGTACCACATCTTCTTGATCCAGTCATCTATTTTTGGGCATTTGGGTTGTTTCCAAAGCTTAGCTATTGTAAACAGTGCTGCTATAAACATAGGAGTGCAGGTGCTCTTTGGAATTGATGTTTCTGTGTCCTTTGGGTAAATACCTAGGAGTGGAATTGCTGGATCATATGGAAGCTCTATGTTTAGTAGGTCCAGAAATCTCCACACAGCTCTCCATAATGGTTGGACCAGTTTGCACTCCCACCAACAGTGCAGAAGAGTTCCTTTTTCTCCACATCCTCGCCAACATTTGTTGTTGCTAGTTTTTTTAATATGTGCCATTCTCACTGGTGTGAGATGGTATCTCATGGTAGTTTGATTTGCATTTCCCTGATTACAAGTGATGTTGAACATTTTTTCATATGTCTGTTGGCCATTTGCATTTCCTCTTCAGAGAAGTTTCTTTTTAGCTCTTCTGCCCATTTTTTGACTGGATTATTTTCTTTGTTGTTGCTGAGTCTCATCAGCTCTTTGCAGATTTTTGTGATCAGTCCTTTATCATTAGTGTTGGGTGCAAAAATGTTCTCCCAGTTGGTGGGGTTTCTCTTTGTTTTTGTTATTGTCTCTTTTGCTGTGCAGAAGCTCTTTAATTTGATGTAGTCCCAGCTGTTTATCTTTGCCTTCACTATCACTGCTTTGGGTGATGTGTCTGTAAAGATGTCTTTGATGTGCAAACCCCGTAGTGTTTCGCCTATATTTCCTTCTATGTATTTTATGGTTTCAGGTCTTATGTCTAGTTCTTTAATCCATTTTGAGTTGATTTTTGTGTATGGTGTGAGGTAGTGGTCAAGCTTCATTCTTTTGCATGTAGCGACCCAGTTTTCCCAGCACCATTTATTGAACAAACTTTCTTTGCTCCAATGCATAGTCTTTGCTCCTTTGTCAAAGATTAGTTGACCATAAATCTGTGGGTTTATTCTGGATTTTCTATTCGATTCCATTGGTCGGTATGTCTGTTCTTGTTCCAATACCATGCAGTTTTGATGATTATGGCTTTGTAGTATAGTTTGAAGTCTGGGAGTGTGATGCCTCCATTTCCTTCTTTTTTTTTCGGTAGAGCTTTGGCTATTCGGGGTTTTTGGTGATTCCATATGAATTTCATCAATAATTGTTCTATTTCTTTGAAGAATGCCATTGAGATTTTGATTGGAATAGCATTGAATCTGTATATTGCTTTTGGTAGGATGGCCATTTTAATAATGTTTATTCTTCCAATCCATGAGCAGGGGATGTCTTTCCATTTCTTTGTGTCTTCTTCTATTTCTTTTAACAGTGTTTTATAGTTTTCTTTGTATAGGTCCTTTACCTCTTTTGTTAGATTTATTCCCAAATATTTGATTTTTTTTGTTTCGATACTAAAAGGGGTGGTTTTTTTTATTTCTTCTTCTTCAGATTTATTGTTTGTGTATAGGAGGCTACTGACTTTTGCGTGTTGATTTTGTATCCTGCCACTTTACTGAATTGATTGATGAGTTGAATTAGTTTTTCTGTGGAGATTTTGGGTTTCTCTATGTATATTAATATATCTGCAAATAGTGATAGTTTGACTTCTTCTTTTTCTATTTGTGGATTCCTTGGATGTCTTTCTCTTGTCTTATTGCTCTGGCTAGGACTTCCAGTATTATATTGAAAAGCAGTGGTGAGAGTGGACATCCTTGTCTTGTTCCAGATCTTAATGGAATTGCTTTCAGCTTTTCACCATTGAGAATGATACTGGCTGTTGGCTTGTCATAGATGGCCTTTATGATGTTGAGGTATGTTCCTTGTATCCCAAGAATTTCAAGGGCTTTTATCATGAATGGGTGTTGCACTTTGTCGAAAGTTTCTCAGCATCTATTGATATTATCATATGGTTTTTATATTTCTTTTTGTTGATGTGTTGGATAACGTTGATTGATTTTCGGATGTTAAACCATCCTTGTGCCCCTGGAATGAATCCTACTTGGTCGTGGTGAATTATCTTATGGATACATTGTTGGATTCTGATAGCTAAAATTTTATTGAGGATTTTTGCATCAGTGTTCATTAGGGAGATTGGCCTATAGTTTTCCTTTTTTGTGTTGTCCTTATTTGGTTTTGGTATTAGTGTAATATTGGCTTCATAGAACGTGTTTGGTATTGTCCCTTCCTTCTCAATTTTTTGGAAGAGTTTGTGAAGGATAGGCACTAATTCGTCTCTGAATGTTTGGTAGAATTCATTTGTAAATCCATCAGGTCCTGGGCTTTTGTTTTTGGGGAGGTTTTTGATTACCATTTCAATTTCGCTAATTGTAATTGGTCTGTTTAGGTGTTCTATTTCTTCTTTATCTAGCTTTGGGTGATTGTAGAGTTGTAGGAATTTGTCCATCTCCTCTAGATTGTTGAACTTGTTTCCATATAACTGTTCATAGTAGTTACTGATTATTCTTTTGATTTCTGCTGTGTCCGTTGTGATTTCTCCTCTTTCATTTATGATCCTGTATATTTGTGCTTTCTCCCTTTTTTCCTTTGTGAGCCTGGCTAGGGGTTTGTCTATTTTATTGATTTTTTCAAAGAACCAGCTCTTGGTTTCATTGATCTTTTGGATTGTTTTTTTAGTTTCAATTTCATTTATTTCTGCTTTGGTTTTTATTATTTCTTTTGTTCTACTGGTTTTGGGTTTTTTTTGTTGTTCTTTTTCTAGATCTTTGAGCTTCGAGATTAGGTTGTTTCTTTGAGTTCTTTCTTGTTTTTTGATGTGAGCTTCTATTGCTATATATTTTCATCTTATTACTGCTTTTGCTGCATCCCATACATTTAGGATATTGGTGTCCTCCTTGTCATTCAATTCAAAGAATTTTTTAATTTCTTCTTTGATCTCCTCGTTAGTCCAGTGGTCTTCCAGTAGTGTGGCTTTTAATCTCCATGAGGTAGGATAGTTCCTTGCCTTCTTTTTATGATTTATTTCTAGTTTGATGCCTTCGTGGTCAGAAAAGATGGTTGGT